AATAAATCGTTTTCCCCAACATCCGTACATCTCATGAGATGTGAGGACTCGCCGGCGACTAATACAGCTGTCAACTGCGATTTGATGAGATGTAGATGTGAATCCTAAAATGGAGAGTGAAATGAATTGCTGTAAATAATACATATGCGACCCTCAGACTCCACAGCCCCCCCCCCCCATTTTATATATAATAGATATTCTCACATGTCTGGCTCTGAATCAGCTCTAATTTGTGTTGGTGGAACAAGTGAAAATGTGCACAGGCGTTGTAGGTAATAACAACTAACTGTCTGAACCCCTTCACCTCTCTACCTCCCACTACCCCCCCCCATCCTCACAAATTCATCCAACTTGAGTGTATTGATAGTGAGGGAAAAGGCACAGGCATCCATCCATCCATCCATCCATCCATCCATCCATCCTTCCATCCATGTGGCCACATGCTGATGGAGGCAGCAGTTTACAAGGCATTTCCTGGCTCCTTTTTAACTACATGTGATAAATGTTTATGGGCCCATATGTTTTAAAGCTGGAGCTCTTACTGCTATTTGTAGGGTAACAGCATTTGGCATCAGAGTGATTGGAAATCTGAGATAAAATATGGCACAAAAAAAAAAAGCAATTCTTTTTGCATTTTTGGCCCCTATCTCAGAGTAAATACACCTGCATTGCTGCTGCTGCTGCTGCTGCTTGGTGACGATGATGCCGTCCATGCTGCACAGGACTGACCAGGCAAAAACAGGGAAAAATCATTGCAAGGAAATTTGATCGTTGTATTGTTCATGCAACCGGAGCCCCCCTCCCTCCCTCCCCCCTCTCCCTCTCACTGCTTTGCTCCATGCGTAAAAAGATGAAGGAGGAATGTGGTGCTGGGGGGGGGGGGCAGAGAAAGCGGTGCATGACCATGGATCCATTCGTCCTGGTCAAGGAGACTAATTGGCGTCCTACTGTTCACCACCGACGCATGTTCTTATAACAAGTCCTCAACTCCCTGCCGGCTCGTCGTCAGTGGACATCCAACATGTGTGGGGCCTGACTGTGTCTGTACCCGACGTGCACTGTGTGCGAGTGCAAGTATCTGGCTTGTGTCTCATCTACAGCTTGTATATCAAAAATCAATAGCTAATGTAAATGGAAAAAAAGCAGCTGAGAGGCAGCTTTGGATGAAGGCAAAGGCTCTTAACTATGGACACTGGAAATGTCAGGTTTCTCCCAACTGTCCTCAGCCTATTTGACAGAAATCACAGTGAAAGTCAGGCTTTTTTTTTTTTTTCAACAAAACTCAGAAGCCTTAACACCTCATTTGAAAGCTTTTTTGCATATTTATCCATTTTTGATCCTTATCAAAAAAGGAAAATCCCACAGAAATCATAACCACTGTGGTTTTGGCTCTCGAAACACATGCAGTAAAACAAATTACCTAATTACCCGTCTTCACTGTTATACTTGACAGTGAAGACACTTTAAACTAACCTTCACGAATAAGAACGCTGCTTTCTACGAGACGTTTGGTGACGTTGTGTTTCTCTGCTGGACTTGAACCACCTGCTCAAAAAAAACAAAAAAACAAACTTCCTCCCCTCGCGTGTTTTCGGCAAAGTGGTCATTGTAGTGTCATGAAGATGCCAGCAGAGCCTCTCTGAATGCAGGAGTTATGTGCTGCAGCTCATCTTAAAAGCTCTGTCTCAGACTGAGGACGGGCAGTTTGAGCTATCCCCTCTGTGTTCTCGGCTCCATTTAGAGTTTGATGCTTTTATGGGGTTGTGATGGCGAGATAGGAGACCGTTGTAGTCGGCCCCTAAATGGCTCCCTGAGATGTGATGGCAAGAATGAAGACTGTGTCCCCTGATGGTGTCTGTGAGGCACAATTCAGGCGCTTATAGAGAAGGATGGGGAGCAGAAAAAGGAGAAAGTGTCTTTGCGGTCTGCAGACGGTACATTTGAGGCTGCATTTGTTCCACTATTGAACGTAATGGTGCCAAGCTGAACTTTGCTGTCTCATCCCTAAATCCCACTGCAGTTGGTTGTTCAGGGTAAGAACAGAGAGTGAGGCCGCGCTGGATTTAGAGCAAGCAGCGCTGATCTGAACCCAGTCGTTGTTACCTTCAATTAGTAAAAACCTTTGATTTTCCACCAGTAAAACTGACTCTTTTTATTTGCATCTGTTTGAGAAGTCCCCTGTCTGAAACTCCTGCGAAACGTTTTCACATTGTTACAGATGGTTCAAACAATCAGGCTGTGCTAATACCTGAGCCTAATGACTCAGTGATTAGCTCTGACCTCAGAATTAGCCACTCAGGTTTCAGATAAAAGACGCTGCTGAATCCATGCGGGGTCACGGTGTGGAGTACAATCCATCACCGTTAGCGTATTAACACACAGGTGAATGGATTTTGCCGTAGGTTGGTTTCGATCGATTCAACTTTTTGCGTAGAACTTGGAAGGCATTGGCGTCCTGCTGTACTGTGCCTCTAAAGATATACCATACGTCGTTTTCTTTCTGACATGGGCTAATACCAAAGCTGCGTAAAGTCGTACAACTGTGAGGTCGACCTGTGGGGGATGTGAATGACTATTATTTTCCATTAGCCTCATGTTGGGAAATGAAAGTGATATGTTTACCAGTTGTCAATCTGGGAACTAACACAGTAATACAGGCTGTTAGATGGATGGATGGATGGATGGATGGATGGATGGATGGATGGATGGATGGATGGATGGATGGATAGATAGATAGATAGATAGATAGATAGAACTTTATTAATTCCTTCGGGGAAATTATGTAATCATCCATATACCCTCAATATATGCTGCGCTGGTGTACATGACCCACAAAAAAAAAAAAAACATGCAAATAATGTGTCAAATTTTTCATACAAGCTGACAAAGAGAAATCCGTCTGAACACTGAAAAACAGTACAGACGGGTCACGGTGACTCTGGTCTGAAACTGGAATGAAAAACAACTGCAATGATTTGCAGAGTTTCGTTTCGTTCAGACTGATTTCTAGTTCTGCTGATAGTCCGTCGCACGCAGCACTTGACCCAGATGGGTAATAGGACACCGTGCAAATGGCCGCCTGTCATTGACCTTAGGACACAGTCCATACCTTCCCACATGTATATTATCCCTAAGAGGCTCAACACACACACACACACACTCACACACGTACATGTACTAAGTGCCTGATGCCTACCCAAGCGAAATGTCTGCTGCGCAGTACATCCAGACCTTGTGTGTGTGTGTGTGTGTGTGTGTGCGCGTGTGTACAGATTTTTCATGTCGTCTGTCTTTCTAAATAAAGAGGGAGCGGCAGGGCACACTCACACACACACCAGCTCACATGCACACTGTGGTTTTTGTTTGTTGTGACTCCATAACAGACGCATTTTTCCACACGCACGGTGGCGGTGGTGATAACAGCAGCAGCAGTTCCATCGGGGAAGTTGAGGTGCGAGGAGGTGGAGGAAGTTGCAAAGCAGGCACATTCTCCCAGCTGCAGGGTTTCATATTTCACAGTCCAGTGGTCCTAAACCCCCCAGGACTGATGAGCACACACAGATAGACAGTCGGTGGAAAGCAGGGTACAGTGGTGGTGGAGTCACGGAGGAGGCAGATGGATGGAACTGTTTTGTGTTTGAAAGCTGCGGCCGCGTCTCGCGAGGGGGGCTGAAGTATTTATCAGGGCCGCAGAGACACATGGACGTCCGACCTCTTTGACAGAGATCATTGGGAAGACAGGGGGAAGACAAACAGACAGGTTTAGGAGGAGAAAGAAGGAGGAGGAAGAAGAGCCAAAGGATGGGGAGGAGAATCTGCAGCCATGCTATAAATATCCATATGCATCCATACGTGTGTGTGTGTCAGTGTGTGTCACTGTGTGTGTCACTGTGTGTGTCAGTGTGTGTGTGTCTCTGTTCACACCAGTGTTTAAGTGTCTCACTGTGTTATGTAATCCTCGGTGGGCCACAGCTGCTTTCTCACACACAGCAGGCAAGCAGGGAGAGCACAGCCAACAGCACACACACACTCACACACACTCACACACACTCACACACACGCCATCATCACATTCTCTTTCTCCTCCTTTTATAGAATTAGCACAGTATGGATTTTTCACTTGGTGTGTAAGCAAATGTAAAATGTGTTTTTAGCTCAGGCTGTTAGAAAACTGGAAATGTATATGTCATCAATCAATCAATCCATCTATCAATCCATCAATCAATCAGCTGATCAGTCAATCTACCAACTAGCCCTTATTTGTAATAATTTGGTGTCTGTGAAATACAGGTGTGAGAGGATTATTTTAAAGATAAATGAATGCAGTTAAATGACAATTAACACATGTTTTCCAAAATAAACCAAACAGAAATCTCACAGGAGATACAGTAGCTCAAAGTTAGACCAACACCAATAAATTAGTCTAAAAAAGTAACAAAACAAATGACCAACACCAATAAATTAGTCTAAAAACGTAACAAAACAAATGATTGCCAGATGATTCCCCCTAATATAAATCAAATGAAACTGAACAAAACTTATATCGAACTTGGTCCAAAGATGACCATCAGCCAGAGCAGAACTAGAGTTTCCTCAAGGTAACAAGACGTTCACCAGAAAGTAAGCTAATAAACTCATTTAGAACAAATATAAAAGACAAAAACAAAACACATAGTTCTGCTGTTTGGCATCTATAAAGCACTGACTCTGAAATGGATAAACATTACACATAATCACAGTAAAATCAGTTCATAACTATTCTAATGTATTCAAATTGCTGGGCTAACATGTTGTCTTTCAATTATCAAGTCATTTGCAGTATGGTAAATATT